GCTGGTGCCCCTCACTCCTGACCTGCAGCCCCCCAGCTCTGCCAGTGCCCCTCACTCCCGCTGCCCTCAGAGGCAACTCCCACCCCTCCAGCCCTGCAGCAGCCCCAGGCTCTGCCCCCGCCCTGCCTGACCTAACCAGATGTCAGGGATTTTGCTTTATTTTGGCTGGTGGGAGCAGGGGCAGGGCAATCCAAGGTAGATTGGTATTTGGCTTCCCCTGCTGGAATTTTCAGGGAATTACACATGGGACTTACTTTGCTTAAAAGCCCATGATGTGTAAACACAAACATGATACACCAAAATAACCTGTGTTAAAATTTTTAAGGCAAGGTAAATTAATGAGTGTCAATCCCGTGGCGTGTACAAATGCCTGGTGATACTACTTCTGGTTCAGGAGGTAATCTTCCTTTGCACTCCCTCAGCAGCATCTTGCTTCACTACTTGGCATTACTATTGGCACTAGATAGCATAGCTCTGGGACCATATTTTTCTAATTTGGGACAAGCAGTCCTATTTCACAGAGTCCTCATGGACACTGGGATACATCACTAACATTTGAGACTGCCCCAGAAAACTAGAACACTTGGTCATTTTATACACCGCACATTAGGATCCTCGAAGCTCGAATGACTTCTACATATGTAAGATCACTCTTTTTACATATATAGAAGAGTATTACTCTTTAGTATTATTATTACTAAAATAAAGAGAAAGGAAAGTGTTTGTCAAAGAAGCAAAGAGATGGGAAACGGATACAGATAAATCTTATTTGCTCTTTTTTTTAAAACATCTACAACTTCATTTGTAGTTTATAAAATGACTTGCCTTGTTTCCTTTTACTAATATTTAGAGGAATCCTATTTGACTTGGAAGAGAATGAAAGACATGGCTTTTTTTTTAAGCCTGCCTGTGCTACAAGAGCCTTAAAATGCTTCTTTTGTGAAATTCAAAACCCTTTGAGCACCCTCTAATAAGAAATGTCCATCAGAGTTACATAACAGAACTCAAAAGTAGAGTGAAGGTACAAGATTTCCTGTGAGGGACTTCTCACCCTCTTCATCATTATGTTGTCCTTGCTTGTGGAGGATTTGGAACAAGGAACAGGAAACAGAGATCTGAAAAAGCTAAGGGTATGTACAGGCATTACATGTAGATCAACCTAACTAGGGTTAGGTCAATGTAAATGTCCAGTTGTGCAGGCATTCAAGAGGTTTATATTGGCCAGAAATGGTGTGCCCGATCTAAGTTAGTGCACCTCAGGAGGTGCGCATGCTGCTCCTAGTACTGGCAAACTGCTGTACGTGCCACTCCTAATTTAGGTCTATGTAGCTTAAGGTAAACCACCTTCTAGACCTGGGGCAGGCAAAATACAGCCTGTGGGCCACATCCAGCCTGCCAGGCCATTCTATCTAGCCTGCGGGGCCCCTAAAACATTTAGAAAATTAATTATTATTTGCCTCTCCTGCCAAAGATGACAAGGCACCAATGGCAGTAGGACCCAGGGGGAGCTGGCGGCAGGACCCAGCAGCTGCAACAGCAAGGCCTGCCCAGCCCCACCTCCCCAGCTGGAAGCCTCTGTTAGTAGAGGCTTTTGGCCTGGGATCCTGGGGCTGTTCCCTGGCTCCTTCCACCAAAGAGGGAATTTCAGCTAAGAACACGGGGGTGGGAGGGCAGGAGGTAGGGGAGAACTGTGGGTGATTGTCTGATCCTCAGGTCCAGGCCAGGCTGGCTTCTGCTGAGTCCTGCAGTCTGGCAATGGAGCCAGGAACCATGTGATACCAGAGTGGCTGGCTGGCCGGTGGGGAGGGTGGGGAGAAGCGGCAGTGGCAGGCGAGAAAGTGGGAAAATGGTGGCAGCAGGTGGGGGGGGTGAGTGGCAGTGGGCGGGTGGGAGCACAGGTCATGTGCTGGTGTCCTGGGCCAGGGCTGGCAGGGGCTCAGGGTGGGGTAGCAGGAGTGCGGGGCCTGGGTTGGCAGGGGCTCTTTGAAGCCAGACTGAGCTGCATCAGCAGGAAGAGTGGGGAGCTGGCCTGGCTCCATAGAGTCCCTGCCAACTTGAGCCCCACATCCCTACTTCCCCTCCTGGGCCTCTGCCAGCCCTGGCCCTGGGGCACCGTTGTGGGCCCCATGCTCCCCCCCCAGGTGTTGCGTGCTCTTGCCTGCCCGCCCACTCACTGCTACTTGCCCTGCCTGCCTGCTGTTGCCAGTTCCTTGTTTTCCTGCCTGCCGCTGCCTTTTCTCCCCACCTCGCTGTCCTCCTGCTAGCTGGCCAGGTGCTTCAGCACTATGTGGTTCCTGGCTGCATCACTGGACCACAGGACTCAGCAGGAGCTGGTTGGCCCCCTGCGATTCTTGGCTGTCTCAGTGTGGCGCTGGCTGGGGTAGGCCAGCTCCTGCTGCATCCTGCAGTCTTGGCCATGCAGCTAGGAACTATGTGGTGCTGAAGCTGTGGGTGGGGAGCATGTGGGGGATGGGGAAGTGACTGCCACGGTGGGGGCTGTGAGCAATGAGGCAGGGAGGGAGGGAGTGTGTGTGTGTGTTTGTAGGGTGAGTCCCACATGCATATGCCACCATACACATATACCCACACCCCCTCCACACTACCATACACACACATCCCAGCCACCCTCCGCCTCCACACATTTACAGCCCCTCACAAACCCTATACCTACCTGCACACCACATATCCACACACACTCACATATTCCCTCACCCCACATACACACCCATAATCCCACACCTATCCAACCCCATACCCCCCACCCCCTACCTATCCACAGCCTCTCACAAACCTATAGCCAACCACCCATACCCCCACATCCTTCCACAATAGTCAAGAGTAAGACTTCATTTTAAGCTGTTATACAATCTTCTCTATGTACACTACAGAAATTACAGAGGTGGGCAGATGAGAATAGAATGGAATTCAACATAGACAAGTGCAAGGTGCTGCATCTAGGGAGAAGGAACCTGCAACATACCTATAGGCTGTGGAACACCCTTCTCAACAACACAGTGGCTGAAAGGGATCTTGGAGTCATTGTTGACTCCAGGATGAACATGAGCCATGAATGCGTGGAAGCGGTCAGTAAGGCTAACCGCACCTTGTCATGCATCAACAGATGCATCACAAGCAGGTCTAGGGAGGTGATCCTTCCCCTCTACGTGGCGCTGATTAGGCCGCAGTTGGAGTACTGTGTCTAGTTCTGGGCACTGCAGTTGAAGAGGGATGTGGCTAACCTCGAGAGGGTACAGAGGAGGGCCACTCACATGGTCGGGGGCAGCAGGCCAGGCCCTATGAAGATAGACTAAAGGGCCTGAATCTATTCAGCCTCACAAGAGAAGACTGAGAGGGGATCTGGTGGCCGTCTATAAACTCACCAGGAGGGACCAGAGGAAAATAGGTGAGGCTCTGTTCCCCTGGGCACCACCTGGGATAACAAGGAATAATGGCCACAAATTGATTGAGAGCAGGTTCAGTCTTGATATCAGGAGGCATTACTTTATGGTTAGGGCTGCCAGGCTCTGGAATGGGCTCCCAAAAGAGGTGGTGCTCTTCCCTACCTTGGGGGTCTTCGAGAGGAGGTTGGATAGATATCTGGCTGGGGTATTATGATCCTAGCACTCATTCCTGCCCAGGTTAGGGGGTTGGACTTGATGATCTGTTCAGGTCCCTTCCAACCCTAGAAACTATGAAACTATGCAACATGTAAATCAGGACAAAAATATTTTTTGAAATCAAATTAATGAATGTTGTAGATGTTTGATTTTTAGAATATAATTTGGTATTTTTCTGGTTCTGAGATGGCAAACCCCTTTGCTGAAAGGAGTGCTTCCGGGGGCAAGGGGAGGGACTTCTGGTGGCAAAAGTCAGGGGTTAGGGGGCGGGACTTCCAGCCCTGACTAGGGGGTGGGGTACCTGCCAAGGGACGGCCCTCAATAGCCATGTAGCCCTCAATAGCTTGCCAAAACTCGGTAAGGGCCCTCCAGCTGAAATAATTGCCCACCCCTGTTCTAGACCGAGACTAGGTGCAACAAATGCTTGTTTGCAGCCTAGGTAATCATTTCTAACTACCCTGTCAATTAAATTGCTTGTTTGATATCATGTGCCTTTCATAAGCATGACATATACTTAAATGCATTAATCTTTTCTTGTATTAATAAAAGCAATCGCTTAAACCTTCATCCTTTAGTTTGAGATTGTTACCATTAGGATATAGAATACCTTGAGTGTTTTGTAGATGTATTTGCCAAAACCCATAATAATCATGCCATGTTACTCTATAATAGCCCATTATTTTGAAGCAAGGCAGCACTGATTAAGAGTTGAACCACCTATGTGTGGTAGGAAGGAAGTCCAGGAGGCTTGTCCCTGAGAGAAATTCTGATGAACTCAGCTAGAATTCCTTCTAGAGCTCTATGGCAATGCAAGGTGCAGTATTTACTCTGCCCCATATTGTAAAACATGCAACATGTGCTCCCCTTTAAAAGATATTGCCTTGTCCTTATCTAAGTAGAAACTCACAATGGAGTGGCCTCCCAGTAATTGGGTGTAGTACGTTTGATTCCTAGCTTGATTCTGGTTATAGCATGGTCATGTGAATAAACTTCTAGAGAGCTCTGAGTTTATCTACAGGGATGGATTAAAACACACCTTAGTTATGACACTGCTATACATAATGAATGTAGTGATGGTGATTCTTCAGTAGCTTACTCTGTTCCCCCGGCTATTCCAACAGTAGTTTTCCCAATACCTAACCTAGATATTCTTCTCATTTAAGACCATTAGTCTGTATTTGATTAGCATGCAGAACTGATTCCTCTTCAGAGTATTTATTTACATGGAAGTTATAGGGCTCCCAACCATTTTTCCTCCAACCTGGGCAGCTCCAATAATTTTTCCTCAATGGGTACCATAAAGATGGATGCAATATAATGTGAATGCTCTATTTTTTCTTGTGGAAAGGGACATGAATATTAATGTACCTCATTTATTTTTAGGAAGCCTTGGCTATGGGCCTCGGTGCAAGTCCATTGGAAAAGGCAGCTGCAACAATTTAGTAGTCACCAGCAGCCCTATGACAGTTCAACGACTGGGACCTATATCGCCTCCTACAAACCAGGTCCCAACAGGCTGCAACCACATCAGTCCTAGCTTACAGAGGGCAATGAATGCTTCCAGCTTGAATATACCTCCTTCTGATACAAGGTCCTGAGTTACATTTCTTCTCTTCTGTATTACAGATAAAAATGTTTAATTTTTCTGTCATATAGGTCATTACCATGCAGCTTTTTCAGAAAAGTGTAATGGAGCAAATTACACTCTCTTATAATAAGAAAAATCCAAAGGAACTGTATATATAGCAATCCTGCTCTTGGTGTAGATCATTGTAACTAACAGTGAAACTTGGTCCAAATTTTTCCATGCTTTGTAGTTCTTCTACTGGATATTGTGCTCACAACTCACAAAAATTATATTTATCCAGTTTAAAAAGTTATAGTGCAAGAAGTGATTTATGGGATAGAAATTTAAAAAAAAATCCCCACAATTTTTTGGAACAAGGGTTCTCTATATTTTATGTTTGGTATGATGCTGTAATGTTCCCAAGTCTAGTAAACAACACTGATGTCAAGCTCATGATACACTATCTCCATGGATATATAAATTCCAGTATGGTTATTGAGGTTATAAATGTAAGTATTAGAGGATCATAGACATTATAGAAAAAGAAGACCTGCTATTTATACCACCCCATTACTAATACAGTATACCCCTGTCATGTTAGTGGTATATGCAGTTGATAAAATGTTCATAGCACCTGGGTCACTTAGGAGCCTACTTAGATGCTTTTGAAAATATGACTTAGAGTCTTAAGTGACTTCGGCACTTTTGAAAATTTTAAAATACAGCATATAACTGTTGTATGTAGTGCTATAGTGTAAATATTCTTATTTACAATATACAGCTGTTTTTCATGTATCTTCTTTTGCATCAGACCTCACTGCAAGCCCAGGAATAATCTCGAAATGGTTAAAAACAATATTACCATCTGACTAGGCTAGATTAGACTATTTTTTCTATTATAAGATACTTTGTGAAGAGAGGATTTCCATCATTTCACCTCTGAAGATTGCCTTTCTTAAGAACCTTTTGTGCTTTTTGATTTGCCAAATTAATTCTTTATCCAGTACATGTCCTTACAAGCTATTAAGAGCTTTTAGTTTGGATAGATCATGATCTTGTTGTCCCCTATGTCACGTGCTCCCCTGCCGAACAGTGGGCGCGTCTACACGAGCATTAATGCACTTTTGCTAATACACATTAAATTTAGTACCTCCAATGTGAGGTACTAAATTAATGTACATTAGGCTGCCCTAATGTGAAGTAGCACAACACACACACTTTTTAGGTGATGCTTAATGCATAGTAGCCTATTTTACTGTGCATTAGTATAATGCCATAGTTTTTTATGTGCCACTTCAGTGGACAGTAAAATAGTCCACTGTGCATTAAAGTGCAGGCGGAGATGCACCCAGTATCTCCTTCACTGTACCACACTTGGACTCCCATGAAGCACTGTGGAAGCTCAATCTGACACAACTTAATATGAAACTGACTCAAAACAAAATGTTTCATTTCAGTTTTCCCAATGGAAAGAAAAACCAGCAAAATGTATATTTTGTTCCAGAAAATCTATGTTTTTTGAGAAACCCCGTATTATATGGGGAAGAAGAACCTCTACCATAGGCACTACACTGAACACCTTTGTGCCGTCTTTTCAATCAATCAGTGATAAAATTCCCATTTACTTCAGTGAGAGAGCAGGTCAGAAGCTAAAAAAATGCAGAGTACTCTGAGGTCAAAGAAAGAATGCTGAACTTCAATGATGATATGCAAGAAAAAGAAAACAGTTTTCACTGTTGTTTCATGTCCATTTCTAAAGTTTTAACCTACAGTTTAGGTTACAGCACAGCTGCATTTACATAGAGAGAATAAGGGTAATTCTTTGCATAAACAGAAGCAGCTGGTAAGTAAATCCAAAAGGTTCTGATCCAAATCTTCTGTTGACATAAAAGGAAGCAAAAGAATCTGTGGATTAACATCAGCTGGGAATCTAACTATTTGTTATATATGTATTTTGGATCTCTAAACTCTGCACTAGATATATATATTCAAAACACTAACTGGCAGCTTTGGGGTAGATTTTTCAAAGAACTCAGCATTTGAGTGTGGAATTTTTTTCAAAAGCTTGTCCTTATTTAAATGCTTAAATGAGAGCTGAATTCTTATGAAAATCTGACTTTAATTGTGGATACTTGACATTCTGGCCCAGAGTTCCTTTTTTTTTTAAATGGAACTTCATTTAAATTGAATCAGTATGTGTTCTTCCTTTTCACTTAAAAAATCAGTATCTTTCTCAGTGGGACTGAAACTGAGGCATAGATGGCAATGGTGCCTGGCTTTTATAAAAAAAAGTGTGTTAAAAGGATGGGCAGTTTTTGTCTTATAGAGGAAAATATCCATTCCAAATTAGTCAAACCAACTTCCCTCCCAGTTTTATTTTCCACAAATTAGCATATACAAATCAAATGTTATTACTCTGTTCTTGCTTATACCACAGACAGGGGAGCTGCAAATGACTAGTGCATGGAGCAGAGAGAACAGGGAGGAAATTGTAGTTCCCTAAGCCTCACTTCCACTCCTGGAATACTTCAAGAGTGGTACCCAACACATAAGACTTTGTTGTTATGAAACAATATAGAATTTAACAATCTGAAATTAGTGTTAACTGATATATTTCCCCTGTCAATTGACTGTTAACCACTGTAAAATGTTGTCATATTAAGTAATAGAAGCCACCCAAGCTGTGCCTCCAAGACTCTGGAGAATAAGTACTACAATAAAAACAAGCACATGGAGGACTTTTCAGCTTGAAACTGAACAGTAATGTACAAGCTAGTGTCAGAATCCACCTATTTTTTCTTGCCTGCTTGGCCTTGCCTTGTATTTCATGCACTCTCCTAGGTTTAATAATCAGATAAAAAGTTCTACAAATCTTGGGGGATGAAAAATCGTAGTACCAAACAGAATCTTGTCAAGAACAGTCAACATACAACTGCATCATTTATGGAAATTTGGTAAACATCTTATTCATTGTGAGTATCACATGAACCATTATTCCTATCCCTGCTCCCACTCATTTCAGTGATAGAATTCTTCATTTAACTGGAATTAGGATATTGTTCTATGCTACTGGCATTGCCCAAGCTAGCGAGAATTTTGGTTTATTAGCACAAGCTGAAGTCTCTACAATGGTGTCATGGTGACTGCAGAGTAGACATAGCTGGTAACTTGTTTTATTTGAAATTATAAATAATACTATTATTATTAATCATCCTGCACATACGATAATCTATTATTTTTTCTTAGCCTTTTTTTTTTTCTTGTGGATCAACCTCTGGTTTTCTTCTCTACCTCTACTGTCAAAAGGTAGATAGGCAGTACACCTAACACAAAGTAATATTGGCTTGATAAGAAGTGGAAACATAAAGCATTGTACTTAATGTCTTTTCCTGCTCCTCTCAAAGTCAATGATAAAGTTCCCATTGATTTCAGCTGTGCAAAGCCAGGGACATTTGGATCAATTTTCATCCCAAATCTTGAAATGCTTTACAGATTTCCAGTTCCTTTTTCAGGGCCATTGGGTTTCTAGCTGTCTTGTTTATGTATGCAATCCCAGGATGTGCCTATGGATGGAGTAATTTAGGATGCAAATCTTTGAACGCATACAATTAAAGACCATTTTTTAAAAATTTGGTCCAAAAACATTATGAGCTTAACCCAGGAAGACAAAAGAACAAATATAAGTTAGTGCATTGAACTTCTAAGATCTCTTTCTAAAACCACTATCATTGTTTTTCCTGCCTTTATTCCAGGTCTCTCATGTCACGTGAGTCTTTAGCCTCCACAACTTTAAGCCTGTCAGAAAGTCAGTCAACTCCAAGTGTGAAACAAGAATGGTCTCATGGGTACAGGATTCTTCCTTCTCTTCCTTCCAACCAAGGCTCCCAAAATGGCAGTGAGTTAGGGGACATACTGAGTTTGCCACCTGGAACATCTATGTCGAGCAACAGTGTATCAAACTCATTGCCATCTTACTTGTTTGGTATGGAAAATAACCATTCCCCTTACCCTAGTCCTCGCCATTCCTCAACAAGGTCTCATTCAGCTCGCTCCAAAAAAAGAGCCCTCTCTCTGTCCCCTCTATCTGATGGCATTGGGATTGACTTCAACACAATCATCCGTACATCCCCAACCTCTCTGGTTGCCTACATAAATGGTTCAAGGACATCACCAGCAAACATCTCCCCTCAGCCTGAGGTCTATGGGCATTTTTTGGGAGTAAGAGGAAGCTGTATCCCCCAGTCTTGCTCTATTCCAAACACTCAAAAAGGTCTTTTCATGGCTAATGGCAATGTCAACCTCCCAGCTTACAGTGAAAATGGAACTGTGGAATACCAGCGGATGCAGCAATTGGAGCAAAGTAGCTTGCAAGCAGCCATCATGAACAACATGGTGGTTCAACAAGGGATGCCTCTGGTAGACAATCAGCCAATGAACATACTAAAAAGTGAACGTGTGGATGATTTTTCAGGCAGCGCAATTAATTTGCCTCCTCCTCCACCTTTGCCACAACCTCCTCCTCCCCCACAAGGTCCACCACCCCCTTACCATGCACATCAGCACCATAATCAACAAGACCTCTTAAGTCATTCTCATCAACTTTCTTTGCCTCCTTCTGGCCAGGGCCCTCTATTAGACGAGGATGGTGAACTAGATGATTTTAATGGTAAACACTGCTGCCGTTGGATAGATTGCAGTGCTCTTTATGAGCAGCAAGAGGAACTTGTGCGGCACATAGAAAAGATTCATATAGACCAGAGAAAGGGAGAGGACTTCACGTGTTTCTGGGCAGGATGTCCTCGAAGATACAAGCCATTTAATGCCCGTTACAAACTGCTGATTCACATGCGAGTTCACTCAGGAGAGAAGCCAAACAAATGCACGGTGAGTCTAAAAGTTATAGCTGATATTTGGTAGAAGTGTAACTTACTGCTTATGAAGGTGCAGATAAAGTTTAATGCTGCATTAATTGCTTGTTTATAGATTTTTCTTTTAAATGAATGAATGTCAGCTCCATCTTGTCACCTACAAAATGAGGAAGATGCATTCTTTAATATATATACCACATCAAATTTGACTACAGAAACTTTTTTTCAGTTTATCATAATATTTTTTTAATCTCTCACATGAGAGAATTTAACAAAGCCAAATATAGATACCGTGAGAGTGAACTGGAATGGTTGGTACTTGAAAAAAGTACTGTAGAATATGTATTTATTTGTACTGATATAGTCTTGCTAATTCAAAGAGTTAGCCAGTTTTTGGAGTCTTGTGTTTCCATTAGGAGGAGAAATTGATGGGAGTCATTTTTTTTCTATGATGCAGTCCTGTTTTTTTATAAAGAAAGTAAATAAAATCCTGTTTCCTTGTACGCATTAGGACTCAGACAGGAAACCATTTCTTTGTTTATAATTCTAAGCCTCTTTTAGATAGTGTTCACCCCCAAAATCTTTCTCTCCTAAGATTTTTCTCAGGGCTACTCTCAAGTTTCTCTGACTCTAGGTTTGTTTTTCCTTCTTTGTGTGTTACTGGCGTGTTTCTGCTCCTCTTTTCTCTCACATAGATATGAAGTTGCAACAAAATCTATCCCTCACCTGTATGTCATTTCAGTCCCCACTGAAACCCCTAAGATGACATATTTCAAAGGGTGGGGTGAAGGGGAGGTTATATTGTCCTTATAGATGGCATGTATTTTGAATAGTGGTTCTTATTTCTGTTTTCATTAAACAAAGGTAGATTCACTTATTCCCTCATCTAGCCTGAACTGAAGGAAGCTATTCCACCCACCAGCTCTAACACGGTCTCTCCCAGTGTCCTGTGTAACATCTCACAACAAAAGGATATTTATTTTCTAAGAACAACTGCTGGTTGGTATTCATTTGGGAGTGACTTGTTGGATTGTATCTATATGATGCAAGCTATAAGTCAGTCCAAAGAAGCTATTTTCTGTCTGTTTTCCAGTAAATGTTTTCATGAAAAACTAAACATTTGTGTGTATAAGTAAAGGAAAATTCCTTTAAATTTTGTGGTTGTAAATGCCTAGTTGTGCTGGCAGAGCAGATATTTTGCAGTTGTGTTTAAAGTGGTCCATTGAAAATCAAACTCTGAGGGTAGGTACAGACATTCAGGGAGGTTAGGGGGAGCTTAGACTGTGTTAAAAATGGCCACCCAATCTAATTTAGTTCGCTCATGAACAGATCTTACACTTCGATCCCTAGTTAAGTCAATCTAAGTGTGAACTGTACAGCAGTTCCAGGACGGTTAGATCAGTCAAAAAATAGCCGACCTGAGTTAATTTAACCGTAATTCAAAGGTGTGCTAAGTTAGACTGGGTACAGATAGACCAGTCTAACTGAACTTCTGTATACATTCTGAATGCAGCCCTGGAGCTGGGAAAGCCCTGCTGCTGGCCTCAGCCCTGGGACTGCACTTTTCTTAGACCCCCTGGCACTGGATTATTTTTAGCCCCCTGGCCACTCCTCTCTCATTGACCAACTACCCCCGCCAGCCCACCAACCCCTGCAATCCAGTGAGCTGCTCCAGGTGCAGATTTTACTGGTGGTGGCTGGTGCCAGGAGCCAACTGAAGTAAGTCAGGGTAAGGGGAGGGGTGGGCAGGATTGTGGGGGTTGATTTGCTGGGGGGGGAGTTATTTGTCTAGGATGGAAGGAGTCAGGAGGCTAAAAATTAGCCCCTGGTTGGGGGGGAAAAGAGAGAGCTCCACCCAATCCTGCCAATCCCCCTCACAGAACCACCAGCCCTCCCTTGGTCCTGTCAATCCCACCCCCTACAAAGCTGCCAGCCCCAAAAACCCTCCTTCCCCTCTCACCTCAGTCAAACTCCTGGCACTGGTGAATACCAGTAAAGATAGCCCTGGGAGCAGTTTGCAGAATTTGGGGCAGTTTGGCAACATTGGGTAAAAGGGTGGTGGGGAGGGTGTAGGGGAAGAGAGAGAGTTTTATGGGATCAGAGAACTTCTCCAATCCCACTAGGCCCCCTTTAGAAACAGCTAGCCCCCTGATCCCGCTTGTCCCTCTGCCTACCCTGACTTACCTACATCAAGCTCCTGGCACATATCTAATTACTGAGTTAGATTTGGTTGGGGGGAGGGTAGGGGTGCATGTTTAACCCAGTCTAACCTCCTGAACTTCTAGCTGTAATGTCTGTGCAAAGCCTGAGTGTCCACATATGATTATCAAGTCACAGTCATAAGAGAACCATCTCCCTTCCCCCTTTTTATTTGGAGTCCCAAAGTCATCCTTTGCTGCTCTATTTTGGCTATTAATTTTACTATTAAGTCCATTTATTTCTCAAAGGTGTCTTAACAGTTCAAGAGTAGGGGAGGGAGAAGGAGTTATTAGAAATTAAAAGAATATTCCTCAAGAAGGGGGAGGAAGATTCATAGTAAGAGGGCAAAAAACAGAGACATGTAGAAGGAAGAGGAGATGTACAAGGCATAATGTTGGGGGAAAGGGGCAGAGAAGAACATGGTAGAAGGAATACTGAGGGAGTTTTGGAGAGCAGGAAAAGGGATCTGTTGAGTCTATGTAGAAATGCCTCCTTCTGTAGCAACTTTTCTGCACTAAACTTGTTCCAGGACAGATTCCTCCAGCTACTTTGTAATGGGCAGAAGCCCTCTCAGAAAACTAAAGTTTTTCTTGGTTGTTAAGGCAGTAGCAATCATCAGCCAGAGGGGAATATGTAGAATCAGTATCTTGCATGATGTGGAAAGTTTTCCAGCTGTGCTCCTGATTGTTCTGTGTGCTACAGAAAGTATTTTTCATAAGACTTAACACAATATGACGCATTCCAAGAGTATTTGCTTACTTAAGATACAGTGACATAGATTTTCAGTCACTAGTAGTGCCTGGGATGAGCAGAAAGTTCCTGCATTCACCTTGCCCTAGAACAGATGACAGTTATAGAGAAGTTCTTTCCTCTGCTTTCAGAATTATTAGTAAGGCACAGTTGTACTTCAGTAAGGCAGAGAAGTAGTTTGGGTTGAAATCTGATTCCCATGACATGAGCATAAACTGGAGCAATGTAGACCAGTCTTTTGAAAGGCTCTGCACCCTCCCTGAATGCCATGCCAGTCCTTTTCCTCTGCCCGATCTGCTCTTGTGCCTTTTGTTTTTCACTCTGTGATCCTTTGCTTAATCTTCTTCCTGCAATGCCTTTTGCTTCCTGCTCTGTCTGCTTCATACCCTACCTGCTCCTGGGCT